AACAAGATATTAATAAACCTTTCTTTTGTGCTCAATGTATCAACACATAATTATGGGGCTTTTTGGAAAAAAAAACAAAATTTTTGTTCTAATGTTGTTACAAAAACTATATTATTTTTAAAAATAGAAGAATAACTCGTTGTTTAATAAGGTTATATGTTATACTTCCTCTGTTTATTCTTTATTGAACTAAAGCCTCTCGAAAAAGAACTTTAGTTGTGTAGTCGTTATCATTGCTCAATGAAATAGTGTAATGATATTTATCTTTTCACTTGAAATCTACGAGTTTAGTAACTCGGGTTGCCAATATTGATACGTAGATAGTGTAATGTTTGATTTCCTTAAACCTTTCTCCTCAACCCATGTAACAAGTGTTGAGCCAATAGCTCTCAAGTCAGTTATCTTTTGGGTATTAGGTGTTAAAACACCTCTTTGGGCTTAATTGCTTAGGTTAGGGAAGTTACAAAACCAAACTTATCTATATTTTTATTATCATTTTTTTTTGTTTTTTTATTTTTTTCAAATTATGTATTATCTATTTTCCTTAGTTGTTACCTTTAACAAAAAAACATAAATAATGTAACAATCCAATGTGCAACCCACAATCATATGTTAAAGTATGTGTGAAAATTAAGGTTTAAGAATACATGTTAAATGAGCATATAAGCAGAATTAAGTGATAACAATGTGAGAGTTTGTAAACCTGAATATTTCAGGAAGTATTATAATAGACCTTGTTAAGAATGGTTACTAAGATGCGTCTCAAGAGTCACTTTAACAAAAGAGGTCCTTTACTCTGCCATCCTAGTAACAACAATTATGCATATGCTTTATGAAATGAAAAACAATTTTTTTTTTTTTTTTATCAACTACTACCCTCTCCCCCCAACCAAAACGAGACATTATCCTCAATGTTGTAAGGTAGAAAGATAGAGTATAGAAGATATCACCTGAAATAACGAACACTAACAAACCTAAAATACACTTAAACAAATATAAGAAACAACAAAACACATATTATGCTATTAATAAAACCAAAAGACATAAAGATTCACATATGAACTCAAATTCAATCTAAGCTTTTACGGCTTTCCTTAAATGATCAATTACAGGAATGAAAGACTGTAGTTAGTCAATCAATTGTTCAGCAGTAGCAGCAGAGATTATGATTTATCGTGCAGAAGGTGTGAGAAATTCTTGTTTCACAGCATGATCAAGAAACGACAACAACTTATCATAATAACCATTAACATTTAACAGACCTATGAGTTTATGGTGAATTTGTACTTGGGCCCAAGAGAAAATATGAAAGATCTCTTCCAATGTGCCTAGACCACCTGGTAAAGCAATGAAGGCATCAACGTGGTTAAATATTGTATTCATTCGAGTAGACATTATGGAGACCTGTAGTTCCTCTCCAATTATTTTTTCAATGATATCCCCTTGTGCTAAAGCTTTGAGGACAACCCCCAAAACTTGACTATCTCCTAAAAATGCAGCTATTGACACATCTCCCATTAACCCAAGATTGCCTCCCCTATAAATTTATGGCACATGTTCATCTTAAATGTATGCCTATCACATAAATCAAATGATTGATTGATGAGTTCAACTACTAAAATTAAGAAAACAAATAGAGGGTGAAGCTTAGAAAAGTAATGCTGGTTTGGTCCAAACAGGAACACTGTTCAATCATTGGATTATATCTAGAGTTGTAGATCTTGGATTTCAATTTGGTTTATATGGATAGAAAGTTAAGACATGTGCCTAAAACATTCATAGGAATGCATAACTCAATTCTGCTATTTAGAAATCCAAATCTTAGCAACAATGGAGAAGTTTGAATCTGTCATATAGCCCAAACACTGTTCAGTATTCAACCTATATCTCAAGTTCTAGGAGTCCAAATGACCTTAATTTTTTTATTGAAAAACTGAGACAATTTCCTAGAATTTTCATGATTCAAGTCTGTTTGAATTCTGATGTTAGCAATGACGGTTTGTTCAAATAAGAAGATAAGGATTGTCAACAAGTCAAGAGCTGGTCACCCACTCAACAATTAGTCAACAAATCAATAATTTCTAATTTTGGCCTATAAAAGGAGGTATTTGCCATTTATTTAGGCATCTTGATTTTCAGATCAAGATCATGCTTTTTATTTCTTTCTTTATATTTTTGTAATATTTAAGTTTTATTTCATGTTATATTTTCCTTAATATCTTGTTTATGTTTTTCATTTCATTTACTATACTTATGTTCTTATATTGTTTATTTATGTTTCTCTTCTTTATTATATTTTGTTAAGTTTATTATATCAAGGTGAAAAGGTTACACTAATGGTGTAAGAATAAGTATAGTGTAAACTCAACACGGACTTTGATATTTGATACTAACATATTTTATATTTGTTATCATGTTCACTCTTAATACTTTGCTTGTTAAATGGTTAATCTAGATTTATGTTGTATAACCCTTGGTGTAACAAATACTTCACACTTTTATAGTCCAACCGTATGGTATAACCGACACTTATGATATGAAAGAAACTTGATTTGTTGTTAACATAACTTATAATCATGAATAAATGACAACATTTACAAGTATTAGCATTATTCAAATAAGATAAATAATGTAATCATGTTAACAATTTATAATCCGATTGGAACTTTCTTTGTGTGTGGTTTTCAGTTGAGTAATAAAAAGAGTTTATATTATACTTGTTTGAAATACCATTAGTGGATCCTCTAACCTTGACATTTATTTTTATCATTGTTTAATCCTCATATTAATCTTACAATCTCAAAGTTCTTTTTAACTTATTATTATTATTACTACTATTATTATTATAATTGTTATTGTTGTTATTTATAATTTATATAGTTAACCTCCTTATGGTTTGTCCCCGGTCTTGTCGGGTAATTTATTATTTTAACACTCCTACACTTGAGAGAAGATATCATCTTTTAGTTGTGTCACCTTGTTTGAAGTATTAGTAGATATTAATTTTTAAAGTGCTTTTTGTTTAGAAATGCATCAATATAATATTTTATTATTTTTAACATCAACACATCAAAATGATTTAAAAACAGTAAAAACAATTAATTAAAAGCTAAAAAAATAAAAAAAAAATTCAAAAACACGATTAAATAACTAAAAAAAAAAAAATTCAAAAACACGATTAAATAGCAATGACAAATAAGACCTTAACAATAAACAATTAAATTTTCATTAAAATATAATATTATAATATTTCATTATTTTTTCCCACTTTGAGTGAGTTTGATATGATGAAAAATACAAATGTGTCAAAGAGGCGTCAAGTCATTGATAGTATCCCTCCAAAGTCAAAACTTCTTGTTTTAGAAGGCAAATCCATCAAACTTGATTAATCACCAACAAGTAATTCTAATATGGACAGATTTGGTAGGGAGACGAATAAATAATACTTTAAGACTTATTATGTATCCAAGGCTTTATGTTCTTGGCATCCGTTATATATCTTTATATTCTTGACATCCGTTATCTTGACACAAATCTTTATGGTTGTTAAAAAGAAATAATTTAAAAAGGTTTAGTTGTCTGAAATGAATTTAGAATAAGTTGTTTTTAAATTCGTATAACTAATAGATTTGATTTTTATTGAACTATAATTTGTTTTTAAATGAATTCATAAAATTTATTTAGGCTTGCATGGGTATCCGAAAGACAGATAAGGAAGGAGAAAAACTCATATATAATTCACTTTTCTTTTTAAAATATATTAAAATAATTTTTTATTATTATTTTTATATTTACACGTCAAAATTATTATAGAACAATAAAAAAGTCAATTTAATATTTAAAATAAAAACTAAAAAAGTAATTTAAAAAGAAAAAAATAAATTTTAATTAAAAAACAAGTTAAAACCCACCGCCAAACATCCAAGTATACATGCTCAAGTCTACAATCACCCGAGCCGGACCTTAATCTCGCCCCACTAGCGGTAAGACATAAACATTAAAAACCCACAACCTTCTAAAGATGTGGGGAACCATTGGTTGGAGCGTCGTCTCATGGCCCTTCGCAACAACAATCATTTACAAGGAGTTCGGTCCAATACTTCTACCAGGGCATTGCCAACAAGAGAAACACGGGAGAAACGGCAACCTTGGACATTCACGCAAAGACCAACAAAACAAAACATTAAAAACCCGATGACTGGATTGTTGCCTTTAACTGGAGGCAGGTGCACAACAAAATACAAAATGGCTATGGCTAACAGCCAACAGGTCACAGACAAGAGAAAACCTCTTCAGTTAAAACATCCAAGTCAACCACTACTTGTTCTACTAAATTCAAAACCTTGAAGTGTGAGCGTAAGGGTAACTTACAGGAATCCTTCATCAACATGAAGGGCACCAATCCCTTCAATGGTCATTAGAAGTTTTCAACAAGTAAATAAATTCCTACGATTCATAGAACTCAGGACCAGTAGCATGCGCCCATATAGATCCACCGATACATGAGAAACTCAGTTAATGGAGCCAGGGGAAGAGGGAGTAAAAGAGCAAACATTAACCTTTATGTGATTTGTACTTGATAACTACAAACTACCCCAATATATCTTCTAACTTCACTTTGGTGTCAACAGGACCTCCATACATCTCTCGACCTCCATACATCTCTCGACGCACCAAAACTGCAGGGGAGCTCGTTGCCACCACCATCCATCACTCAAGCTGAGACAGTTTAGAAACCAAAGAAACCAAGTTCACTAGCCTTCTCCTTCTCAAAGGTCTCAAAGTACTGATAAATGATCGTAACTGCAAGTAGTATTCCTGTCCCTGATCCGATAGCTCCCATGAAATCTGCCAACACTGTCAGTGCCCCAATGCAAATACCTCCAAAAGCTGCAGCAGTGGGTATGTAACGGTTCAACTCTTTCTGTAAGTTGGACTCCCGATGCCCAGGCATAACCATTTGTTGCTCCTGCATGAGGAAACCACGTTATTATTATACATGTCAAGCTGATAAAACTCAGCACATTATCTAGACCCATGAATCCCCATAAATTGAACTTCCATAATTTACAGGAAATAAAACATGATGAGATTAGGATAATAGCTGAGAGCAGGAGCTATTGTGGCAGTAGAGGAAAAACAAAACGTTAATTCCGTCAATTAATTCAAAGGATGCAACATCACCAATCACAGCCAAAAAGGAAGGGAAAAAAAACAATAAACAAACAAGGAATGAACAGCAATCATTCAATTTCTCATGCTGGCTAGACACCACAGAGATTAATACTTAAAAGAAACTGTTTTATTTGAAAATACAGAGATATCCATCACTATTACTAGCAGGCTTCTGGTAAAGCAAAATGTAGAGGCACGGGCAGACTTTTCAATCCAGAGTAAGCTTGATAAAGTAGGATATACATAACAAGCCAGGAGAAGCTTGTATTGCAACAGACTCTGGGCTGCCACAAAGTGCTCCTCCATTTCTACCCTTTATAATTGGTCAATATCCTTCCTAGTCTGAAGTCCCATTCAAAATTTGTGCAGGAAACAATGAACTCTTAGCTTAAAAGTGGTCAATTAAGATTCTAAATTCAGTGAGCATGACAATTCAATCTCAATTTCCACCTCTGTTAAAGGCTACGGAGAGACAACCCTTGCAGCAAATCCAAATTCAATGTCCATGACTTGGAGAATATAGATAAGACACTTAAAATGTCACAAGGCCATGTGAATGTATCATGCCCGGGGCATTGTACACTTTATTTTTTTCTTAGGATGGCCTTCTGACATTTTTAAGTGTCTTATCTGGTTTCTCCAAGCCATGGGGCAAAGTACACTTCAGTTTTTTCTAGGAGGTCACTATGGTTCAAATTCCTAGCGTTGGTGTTTTCCTCCTGCCTTTTTGGTTTAAAAAGAGGAAGAGGGTGAAAGAGCATGTCCAAAGACATGCAGAGGAGAGAATGTACAAAGACATGCAGGGGAGATTGATTTTCACATTTGAGAAAGAGATTGACCAAAACAAATTCAGACAGTCATTCATCCTGAAGACTGGGTGCCACTAATTACAATTATGCAACCTGGGCGGGAGACACTCAAACATGACCAGACAGGAGTTGGGAGAAAGACCAGCACATGCTGTCAATTTACACATTATCATTACAATATAGAGAAAATGCAGTACAGTTAGTAATAGTTGGGCTCGGGTGCATGAGACCAAGAACTTAAGTATCAGTCTAAAGGTGCTAGTGCATAAGCAGGTAACAAATAAAAATAATCCTTTGAACAAGCAAACACAGAAACCTGATGACCATGTCAAAATTTACCTTATCCTAGAATTCAGAAAAGAAAAATCCCTGCATGACCTAGTCAGGCTGCACATTTTTATAAATTCTAAGGCATTGAATATACAAATGAAGAGAAGTACAAAGGAGGAGCTCCCATTTTCATTACCATGTGTTGGAAAAGGAAATTTCCTAAAATTGAAAAAATGGGATTCATCAAAAGCCGTCAGCTTTACCTAATCACATTCTAATCCATTAACTGAATATGGCTAATTTGCATATTTTGCAATCAATTCTGCTTAAATACATAATGAGACAGCTAGAAGTTAAGTTAATAACAGGCAAGGCTAACTGCTCAAACCATAAACAACCTGCTAACCTTTTATATAAAATACATTATACAAACAATAGCACATAATGCTTTTAAATACTTGGAGATACTTTAAGCTTTGTAATCAAGCTTCTACTGATCAGATTCAAATTCCAATGAACTAGTAGATCTTGACTCTTATTTCAAGTTCTTTTTACATGCATTTCAACACAAAAAGACAACCAACTATACTTTGAACGTAAATATGTTGGCAGGTTTGGTCCTGTCTCTTAACAAAAAAAAAAACAGGCACGTCCATGACTAAAACCAACAACAAACCATGATTATGGTTGAGCTTGGCATTGTGGTGCCTTGGAAGCCACTTAAGCTACAGTGCAAGGTCTCCAGTTGGGGCACTCCACTGCAGGTACCTTACCAGTGGCTTATAAGCAACCAAAATACCAAACACCTACTACATGTCTTCAACAGTAGATTTAAGCCCGTATAATTGTTGATGAACCTCAAGAGTCCTAAAATTCTGGATAGTACATTAACTGGCTTGAATTTTAAAAAAATCTACATCATTGTCATGTCTTAAATAAATGGATCAAATAAGATAAATTGCAGTTGTTTAAGTAGATCCAACTACTCTTCAGTTCTAACATGAGATTGAGAGTTTGTCCAAGAGTCTTTGATTATTAGGTCACCTGCTTATGATTCACACACCAAATATATGAAGAAGTTTGGTTGTTTGACATGTAGCATGCATAAAGGTGCACAGAAGACTTTCAAAGGATCCACTAAGATGTCAGTAAAGACAAGCCCCATACAATAGACTGAAAATCCTAAGATACAAATGCAACCAGAACTAAAGGTCAAACTGAAATCATATTATGCAATGCAAAAGCTGAAATGATGTGTTGTGCTAAATGCAAAGTAAGATTTTTTTTTTTCATCATTAGAACATCTGAAATAAAAAAGTCCACATACCTTGAGCTGCTTGGCCACGTCTTTGGCAGATGATCCAGACACTTCAATCCAAGTTTTTGAGAAGAGGGCACATGCTGACAACATAAACACAAGATAGAAAAGAGCATGGAAAGGATTTGCTGCCATATCAGCTAAGCTGCAAAAAATTAGAACATACATGTTAAACCAGCATTAGCATTGCCAACAGTAGAGAGTTACTGGGAATCAAATATAAGGCAGGAAAATTATTTATGAACCAATAAGAGTGCAGATATATAAACCAAATAGACGAAAAAAATTCTCGAATGAAACAATCTCAGCTACCTTGAGGGCGCAGTGATATAATATGCAAGGCCACCAACAGGGACAAACTGACCACCTGAATATTCAGATTCCTTCCATTTGCCCAAAAGATTCACAAGGAAGTTTCCACTGTATCTCCTGTACAGCAACTGTAAACAAGCAAGTTAAAAGATAAACTGGAAAACCAAATCTCAAGCAGTACATAAAACCATATAACCTCAGTACCTGGGAGATGAAGTAAAGGTTAGATACAAGAGCAGACTGCAAAATAATGGGCATGTTTGAGGTGTAGAACAACTTGATTGGATATGAACCCTGCTGCCCACGAGCATTCTTTGACCTCACAGGCAAAACCACACGGAACCCTTGGAAGTAGATGACAATGAGAAAGATCAGCACAGTAGCAAGCAGATTTGTCACATTTGGAAGATTCTGCCGGTAAAATGCTTCTCGGAGAGCACGAACTTTGTCTGTTCGAGTTATCAGAAGATGGAATAAAGCAATGACAGCTCCTTCAAATTCAGCACCTCGCCCACTATTAATGGTGGTTGGACTAAATGCTTTCCAGATAATATTTTCACTGAAAATGAACAGCACTCTATAAGTATCCAAATTTTCATAGAGATGGTAAGGATAACTCCAGAAAGCACACTAATTTCACAATACTCAACATAGAGAAGGAAATTACAAAAGTGGATCCATAAACAGAAGAATCAAACTCACCAGATATTGGTTGCAATGAAAAGAGAAATTCCAGAGCCCAGACCATATCCTTTCTGGAGAAGTTCGTCCAAACAGATCACAATGATCCCAGCAAAACAAAGCTGAATGATGATAAGAATGGCATTTCCTACTCCAAGTTGGCCAACACTTCCATACATCCCTGAGAGCACATATGCCACCGCTTCACCAACAGCAATCAATATACCCAATAACTTCTGTGCGCCGTTCCTGTGAGAAGCAAGCATTCATCATGTCAATGCAATTAGCACAAGCAAGTTGCATTACCACAGAGTAAAAGATAAGAAGCCAGCTTAGTGTTCGTTGATAAGGGAGAGCCCCTAGTAAGGCACAAGCATCCCTGATCACAAGGTGCAACATGGAACAAAATCATCCTAGAAATTGACTGAAAATGTAGTACACTTAAAATGCCAATCACCAGCCAACCAAAATTAATAAATTTAAGAAATTTATACATAATATCAAGTAACCAAGTGAAATGAGGCATCTTTTAGTTTTTTCCAAAGTTCATTGTTCACATAAAGACCATTACAATAAATTTGAACCCGATTGTAACAAGCAATGAAATACCAGCAATGCCACTCAGATGACAATATGCATAATATATAACATAGCACAAGACACTCTAAGAGGCCCCCATCATAGAATGAGCATAGAAAACAAAGCAACTTCTACTGAGAGGGCACCAACATGATTTTAGCCGCACAAGGATACTTACAATAATGCACGATCTTCACGTACATTGTTGTCCACTTCAATGATCTTTGAACCAGCAAGCAGTTGCATCACCAGTCCAGAAGTCACAATTGGAGTGATACCAAGTTCCATGACAGTACCACGGTTTGAAGCAAGAATGACACGCATCCAATAGAAAGGATCCGCACCGGTTGTTGAATGAATGCCATACAACGGGAGTTGACTGCATACTAAGAAAATGAAAAGGGCAATCACAGTGTATATGACCTTCTCACGAAACGGGATTTTTCTGTCAGCACTCTGAACTTCGGGAAGAAATGAGAGAAATGGTCTGACAAGGTGAAGCACCCTAAATCCACCTCCCATCTTTTTTTATTATTCAGCCTATAAATAAATGACACATAGATGTAATTAATTATCACAACCGGATCCAACTAATTATCACAACTGGATGAAATTAATTAAGGATAAATAAATCGCAAAAAATCGCAGAAATGGTAAAAATCTAAATCTCACCATCAACATTTAAAAAATTAAATATTATAATCGAACTTAATATTACGGATTATTTACAGGATTATGAGATTCAATTCAATCTCAAACAACCTAGACAAAGCTAAACAAACAGATCTGTATGCATCCATAAAATAATTCAGTAATTCTCTGTTCGGATGCCGAGAAACGGAGAAAGTAAGAGAAAATTTCATTTCAGATCTCTTAATAAACCAATCAGGTCAAGCTGTACAACATTGACATGGATTCAATGAAATCAGGTCTGAGAAAAAAATATAAAGAGTGTAAATCGTGAGATCTGAGGAACTAACCGTACGTAGTCGTAACCGTAACCGTAACCGTAAAGAAATGAAAAGTATCTGGATAGAGGGAAGGAGAAGAACCGTGATCTGAAAGAAGAGATAGTTTTGATTTTTTTTATGTTTTAACCTTTTATAGGGGATTGATATAGCAGAGGTGATCGCGTGGCGTAGAGGCCACGAGATCATGCCAATAAAGGAGTGCCACGTGTAAATAATAGTGATGTGGATTTAACGTGTTGGGGAGACGGCACGTTTGACCGAGCAGATTGATCGGGTAATAAAGGTACCCTAAATTGGCAGGTAATGAATGGCATGGCAAGTGTGTCCAATTATTGGTACAGTGAACGAATTTATTTTTTAAATTAGTTCAATTAGAAAATTAACTTTTATTTTAGTATAAAAATAATGATGATGCATGCTGTACATGTGCCACTTTCAAGTCGCACATACTACATGTGTGACTAAGAAATTGTGCATGTTTATATGCAATGACTAGTCCTATATATGGTAAATTTATAATAAATAATCGTGCATATAATAAATGTATAACTTATTACATTCCCACTATGTTGTTTATCTCAACCATTTCAGCTTCCAGTACAACAAAAGATAGTTTCACAAAATCAAAAAAACAACATTTATAGTTTAAGCCAACATAATCCTCTAATTTTTAGAGCACGTAAATTTATAATTTAAAAAACTTAATCTTAACATCAAAATAATTCAACACAATAAATAATATCAATTCAATTACAAATTAGTTAAATTACATATATAAACATTTAGCAATTAATTTGTTGATCTACACCATTAAAATCATGGGCATGTTGTCAACATGCATGATAAACACTGTTATTCTTTTTTATTATGTTGTTCAAAAGCTGAGTCTTCCTAACCTCATCAATTAAAAAACAACACAATGAAAATCAAGTATTAAAAGCATCATACATAATATCGTGAGTAGCATCATAAATTGTGGTCATAGCTCTTAGACCCTTGCATATTAAAAAATTTGCCAAATATATTTAAAAAATTATATTATCATTTATAAGATATAAATAATATCTTTATTACATGTTAAAAAAATAATTCATAACATGTCAATTTATTATATTTTTGTTCTCGATGCTCATAATTATTTAAATTAACTGTTAGCTAACACAAGTGTCATATGGATGTATCATGACACGCTTCCATGGAAAGTTATGAATTATCTTATTATGTTCATGTGCCAAAACATGTAGAGATATAACTTAATATATGGATACAACTATATAAATATACAATATTCAATAAAATTTAATTCTTTCAAAACTAATATTATCCTAAGTAATTGGCATGACCAAAAGATTGATGTCTTTTTTCTAATTGCAGGAGTGTTGAAGTAATAAATAGTCCAGCAAGACCGGGATTGAACCACGTGAAGATTAATTGTATAAATTATAGATAATAATAATACAATAATAACAATAACAACAACAACAGTAGTAGTAGTTAAGGGTGGAGCCAGGAATTTTTTCTATCCTAAGCTATTAAATAAATATATAATTTTTTAAAAAATTAATTATTAATTAATGCATATGAATTTTTGAAGTTAACAGTAAAGTTTTAATTCAAATGCATTACCTAAAATATTAAAAAAATAAATTTAAAAACACATCAAATTGAAGTAAAAAGTAAAAATAAATTCACTATTAAAGTTATATCCTTCGATATTTCATAGAATATAATTCATCTATAATTAAATTTGAATTAATATTGTAACAATCCCTCAACCGGGATAAAATATAAAGTAATTAATTTTTCTCTTTCTCAATTCCTCCTTCCTTCACGTGATTATTTCTTAAATTAGTGTTTTATAAGTTTACAAAGTTATTCTCTCACTATTTTTTTCTTGGATTTTTTTATATTTTTCCCTTAGTTTTCTCTCTTTCTCTCTTGCCTTTTCTTTTCTTTCTTTTTCTATTCTGCTTCTGCCCAGTCAACAATATATAAAAGAAAGGAAAAGGTGATTTGTTTTATTTTTTAATGACAAATAATCATTTTACCCTTAATGAGTTATTTTGTTTTTATTTGATAGTTTTTTTTATTAGCACTACCAAGTTCCATTCATCCTAAAATTTTAACCAGATTTTATTCAATATATTTTAAGATCCCTTATAAAATTTCAGCTTAATCTGATGGTCGGATTGAAAATTATAATTTTTTAAAACTAGTTAAATTATAATTTTTCATCAAATTTCTGAATTTCTCCAAATTTTTTAAAATTTTAACTCAAGCTAAAATATTATATTACAAGGCTTCACACAATTTTTTAGAATTTTTTAATAACTCAATTAAAAATTATGAATTTTTTTATATAAAACTAATCAAAAAATATTGATAAAATCTTAACCTAGGCTAGAACCCACCCTAGCCCTTGGCATTCCTCTGCCTATGATGGTAGTAGTAATAATAATAATAATAGAAGAAGAAGAAGAAGAAGAAGAAGTTAATAAGAACTTTGAGATGAAAGATTAATGTAAGGATTAAACAATGATAACAACAAATGTCAAAGTTAGAGGATCCACTAATGGTAAGCCAAACAAGTATAGTATAAACTCTTATTATTTAATTGGAAACCACACACAAAGGAGGTTCCAATCAGATTATAAATTATTAACATGATTACATTGGTTTCTTATTCGAATAAGGCTAATACTTGTAAATGTTGTTAGGCATCCATGATTATAACTTATGTTAACAATAAAACAAGTTCTTTTCATACCTCAGGTGTTAGTTATACTATACAGATAGGCTATGAAAGTGCCAAGTATTTCTTGAACCAAGTGTTATACAACATAAATCTAGATTAGTCATTTAACAAGCAAAGTATTAAAAGTAAACAAGATAATAAATATAAAACATGTTAGTATCAAACATTAAGGTCCATGTTGAGTTTACACTATATTTATTCTTACATCATTAGTATAACCTTTTCACCTTGACATAATAAACTTAGCTGAACATAATGAAAGAAAGAAAGAAAAATAAATGAAATAAGAACATAAATAAGATAAAAGTTAACTAAGTAAAGGAAAGGAAATGAAAGGTATAAACTTGATAATAATGAAAGCAAAACTTAAGCATTACAAAAAAATACAAAGAGAGAAAGCAAGAGCATAATCTTGATTTGAAAACCAAGATGCTTAAATGCATGGCAAATGCCTCTTTTTATAAGCAAAAATTAAGAACTATTGATTTGATGACTAATTGATGAGGGAATAGTCAACTCTTGATTTGATAACAATCATTATCTTCTGTTGTTTGCCCCAAATGTCATTAATAACATCAAAATTGGAACCACTTGAAAACATGAAAGTTCTAGGAAATTATCTTAGCTTTTCAGGAAAAAAAATTAAGGTCATTTAGACTTCTAGAACTCCAGATATGGGTCAAACACTAAACAATATTTGAGCTACGGGACAAATTTGGACTTCTTCGTTGTTGCTACAATTTGAACTTGAAAACGACCTAATTAAAATTAGACCTCCACATAAACATCATAGGCCACTGTCTTACATTTCCATCCATATAAAGTAGATTTAAATCTAAGATTTATAGCTCTAGATATGACCTAATTACCGAACAGTATTCCAGTTTGGACTGCACCAGTATCTCTTTTCTAAGTTTGGCTATCTCTTTGTCCTTTTAATTTTAGTTCTTAAACTCATCAACTTAGGCCATTGAATCATATTTAAAGCTGTAGATCTCGAATTTAGGTCTATTTTATATGGATGAAAAAGTAAGACATAGGCCTACAACTTTCATATAGAGCCCAAGATTTAAAATAAAAGTTAACTAAGTAAAGGTAAGGAAATAAGAAGTATAAACAAGAGATTAATATAAGTAAAACTTAAGCATTACAATAAAGAAAAAGCAAGAGCATGATCTTGATCTAAAAATCAAGATATCTAATTACATGGCAAATGCCTTCTTTTATAGGTCAAAATTGGAAACTATTGATTTGATGACTAATTGTTGAGTGGGTGGTCACATCTTGACTTGGTGGCAATCCTTATCTTCTTGTTTGCTAAAAACATCATTGCTAATATCAGAATTTAGACAAACTTGAATTATAAAAGTTCTAGGAAATTGTCTCAGCTTTTCAGCAAAAAGAAATTGAGGTCATTTGGACTTCTAGAACTCGAGATATGGGCTGAACATTGAATAATGTCTGAGTTACAAAACAAATTCAGACTTCTCTGTTATTGCTAAGATTTAGACTTCCAAATAGCAAAATTAAGTCTTGTCTTTCCATGATTTTAGGCCCATGTCTTAGCTTTCTATCTATATAACGCAAACATAAATCCAAGTTCTATATCTCCAGTTATGATCTAATTACCGAATAATGTTCTAACTTGTACTAAACCAGCATCTCTTTTCTAAGCTTCACCCTCTCTATGTCCTTTCAATTTCAATACTTCAACTTATCAATCAATCTTTTTATTTATATGATAAACCTGCATTTAGGATGAACATTTACTATAAATTAAAGATATTTTATGATATCAGACTTGTTATTATAAAACATATTTTAGTTAAGTTATTGATACTTCAAGTATAAAATTATGATATAAAACCTTGATAAAAATTTTATTTTTAAGTACTAATCATCTTGCTAGAAATTTCTTCCTAACTTATAGGTTTGCTTGTGCTCCTAACTTATTTACTTGTGTGACTGGGTGTATTTATACACCTAGTGTCATAATTATTATGTCTAGTGTTATATAGATTGTTATGCCACACATGTAATTGATGAAAATATTGGTGGTGAAGAATGTTATTGGTGTAGAAAATAATGTATGGTCTGTATAGAAAAACTCATATGTGTATAGAAAAATTATGTGCATAAAAAGTTTGTGTAGATGGCTTATGGAAAGCTGAAAAAAAAATCATAAAAAGGCATGTTGGGTAGGACTAAACAGACCAAGTCTATGATAGATTTTTAGGTTTAAACTCCACTCATTTGGGTTAAGCATAAATAAGAAATATTTTTTTTGGAAAAACTTCCTCTTTTTTTTTTTGGCCATAGCTTTGTTTAATATGATTTGTTAATTCTTAATTTTCTGAA